TACACACTCCTTGAAACAGAACTATTATCACAGGCATAAAAGATTGTTTCTGGTAGATTAAAAAAAAATGACAACTAAAAATATTCTGCTGACCATTTTGCTGTGTGTGGCATAATTCTTTATTTAAAATATGATCAAATGGGTTAATAAAATATATTAATTATTAAGAACTATGGAAAGTGTTTTTATTTAGATTTAATGTCTACAATTACATACTTACAAAAGCAAGAGAGAGCCAAGGTACTTCTCTCTAGCTATCTTTTCACATACACAGTGGTCACTGGTGAGTGTGCAGTGATTTGACAATGAGCTTTATGTTCTTCCATTTGTTTCAGTTTGAACAAATGTGTCAATTCTCCACACTTTTATTGATGAAAACGTAATTTAAAAGCTGACTGTATAAAACATAGAAGATAATCTTTATATTTTCTTGCTGCATCCATTTCCTATGAAACATCTAAATTCAAGGTCTTCCATGGTGTGAGCTTGGACACACTTAAGTGACCTGAAAGGGGAAAATCTAAGGAAAAGGAGTATAACATTGAGTTTTAACACATCATGTGTGCACACACATGATTGTTTAAGCCCTTACATTTATATTGATTTCATAAAGGACAGTATCAATGTAAAGTGTAACAAGGTCGTATAAGTGCTTCCTCAGCCTTCAAAAAAAACATCAAAATGTAGACTTTTTTTTCTATTTCTATTTTGTAAGCAACTACATGAAATCCTTATAACTTTAATAAACAACAAAACTTGAAAAGTTTTACTTTTTTGATGAAATTATTTTATATCCTGCATTGCTTTATTGAAGACTAAGGAATTTAGACTTTAGAATCTTGATGAGGATAAGTTATATATGAAAGAATAGTGCTAGTTGGGATGCTATGAGAAGGTCAAGTAGACATTGACTTGTCAAAAACAGCAAATACAACCAACATTAAATAAGAAAGTAAACCTTACATTTTGTGGCCTATTGTGTCCCCCAAAGACAGGATTATTTGCAACTATAATATGAAAGTGTCTTCAGAGAATTTATTCACTATTAATTGGAGAGTTTATGTGAATGAGTTTTAGATGCAAATAATTGAGAATATCAATAAATATCCTGTGCATCCAATGAGAGTGTCCTCTGTCTCTATGAGAGGAAACATCTTCAAGGTCTCATGCCCTCTCTGCAGAAACCCTTGCTCTGGCTTTGATAAAGGTTCACAGAATGCAGTTTCTCTTAAAAACAATCTGCAGCAAATTTTGACCCAAAAATCTGGGGAAAGTTCTGATGCTTAAGCTTTTAAATTAGATATTTTCTTGGTCAACCCTTCATTTTTAGTATCTGTCCTAGGTAGATTTACTTTAAAAACAATCACAAAAGCAATCTTATCTATTTCTGCAAGGAAATGAAATGGAACATTATATTTAAGTCTTATTCATAGATCCATATACACATTCCAATTATTTTTTTAGTCTTACAGAAATAGTCTTATAACCATTAACTTTCTAAAAGGTTGTGTTGAAATGATAGGATGGCAAATGACCAGGTAACATCTGAATTATAATGATTGGATAACAAGTTATTCAATTTGGAAAGAAGTTGAACTAGATCATTCTCCTTGTTTGGCAAATGGTATCATGGAGCTACTATTATGGGCAGATAAGTTAGAAGCTTTCACAAAACGACTTTCAGTATAATGATTTTGTAATGCATTTCCAACAAAAGAGATTGCTTACTATCACACAATTCTTTCATAGGCAAGATTACACATGCAGTCAATACAGGAATTTATGACGAAAAGTTATCAAAGTAGTAGAAGCCCAGTACGTCTAGGTCTGCTCACCTCTGCTATTGTCATCACTAGGTATACAACACTACCCATAGTCCCCACCTTCACCTCACTAGAGTGCAAAGCGTACTGGAAGTCAAAGGCACCTATTTAGGGACCCTTGGGAGAAGTTGATATAATTTGGAAAAAATATCTTTGAGATCCTTATACATTATAGGTTTAGCAATCATATACACTCACTGTTCAATCTTCATTTCTAAGAGATAATCTAGCAGAGATTTTATTTCATGTTCTTTTGATTTTTCCAACCTGAGGACATTTCTGTTTACCCAAGAAAGAGAAAGAACTGAAAAATACCTTATTATCTAAATGTTGGCAGAGCTCTACATGATTAGATTTCATTGGCATTCCTGAAGGCCATCACTTTAATATTTTTCAATTTAAACAAAAATAAAGCTATGAAAATAATGAAACACATAAATTTAATATACATATATATTTTATATATTTATATATGTATGTTTGTGCATGTGTATGGTCACAGTAGGAAACGGATTATTATGAGAGAACAATGTAGACGTTAAGGAATGAATTTCTTGCTTTACCCTCACTATTTCTTAAAAGGGAAAGAATAAAAGAGAAAGAGATAAAGCTAATTTAAAGGCCTCATTTTCCATGAAATGTTGGGATACATTTAAAATTGAGAACACCCTAGAAACATTGTACTGGTTTTTGCTGGATGAAGACTGAATTTCTGAAGACTAAAGTACAAACACAGTATAGGCATGCTGTCATTGAACACACTGCACTGAATCTATACAATTGAATAATAAAAAAGTATTTCTTATATATAAAATGTTTCCCAGGTACCAAAACATCAAATAAAAATCCCACCCCTCCTGCTGTGTCCCTAGGTATGTATACTACATACTGTCTTGGGGGAATGTTTCACAGCACTTGTCTCAGGGGCAATGTTTTCTGGTTTATGGGGCCCGGAAGCAAGGAACCAGCATCCCCCCTCGATTAGGGAGGCGTGGCTTCCTGTAGCACCATGCTGCCGGTAGGTGTGACACCCAGAGTGTTCTGGTGGTCACCTGCTCATTGACAGCCTTAGCCATGGTCACCGGGAGCCTCACTCGAATTGTAGATTTACTGTCATTCACTCTGGAAGCCAGTGTGCATTCTCTTGAAGTCTGCTTGTCCCTTTTGTTCTCTTTTTGGCAGGTCTGATATGTTACTATGATCAAAACAGACTAAATTGACAAGTGCTGGAAACAGCACTATTTCTCCTACAGAAGGTCTTGCTGCTGCTACTTAGAAATGATGTAAAGTATTAGAAATGTGAGTCACTTATAAATATTTAGTCCTTAACCCATAGCAAAGTAGAGAGATATTGGACTAGAGCAGTGGTTCTCAACCTTCCTAATGCTGCGACCCTTTAATACAGTTCCTCATGTTGTGGTGACCCCCAACCATAAAATTATTTTCGTTCCTACTTCATAACTGTAATTTTGCTACTGTTATGAATCGCAATGTAAATATCTGATATGCAGGATGTATTTAGGCGACCCCTGTGAAAGGGTAATTCGCCCCCCAAAGGGGTCTCGACCCACAGGTTGAGAACCGCTGGACTAGAGTATCAAACAGAGCACTTCATAATTTGTGTGCATAGGAAAACCAGGAAGAAAATTTGAATGCCCATTTTCCAACATTGTTTCTACTATTTCTCATTAGCATAAAATTGGTCACATGTTTTGAACAAATGCATTCCATAGCAGTCACTGGCAAATTAGACTAACATAGGCTTTATGAACAACATTCATAGCAGAAGATGATTCAGAGTAAAAATAAGGACTGACTTTCATTTTCCAGTTAATAACAAATATTTGACTTAGTTAATTACAAACCTGCTTACATAATAAAGACGACGAAAGTGAAGCATAATTAAAGGTGTCTTGTAGAAAGACGTGTTTCTTTGTGGGCACCTGAGCTCGAAGGACAAGCTACTGATGGCTCCAGGTGTTTGCCATGTTAGATCAGCTTTGCAAGTCTTGATGCTCTCAGCACTTGTCTGCTGGTGCCCAAAATAAGCATTTTGAGCTTGAACCTTTTTCAAAGGAGAGTTTCATATTCCAAAAGGAGAGAAATGACCATTGAACATAACATTAATAGTTATTCTTTATGGAAGAGTTTGTCTTGACTATCAATTAGGAAGTAACTATATCTCTAACTTAACATGAGACTGCCAGTGGGTATACCTGATGGTCATGTTCTTCTGAATGCACCAGGGTGTTTACAATCACACAATACATGGTTCTTCTTTGAAAAATAATGGGTTGGACCAGGACTTATGTTTGACTGATAATCTTTTCAGAGTAAATAATATATTAACAACCACAGCGAGTCACAGAGTATATAACCTCCTAAATAGATAAATTATGTCTGACTCCTTCAGATAAGCAACAAGGAACGTTTCAGTGAAAAAACCCAAGAATGAGGTTGACAGCAACAAACTTGTGAGGCCTTCTAGTTAATGTTTATAGTTATAACAAATTGCAACACAATAACATATTTGATATGTACCTTAAGAGGGTTTTATATACCTGCTAAGACTATTTTTCCAATTTTTTCCCCAAAGATATCATAATTTTAAAATGAGAACATAGATGATCTAGAAATAAAAATGTATAATCATCTTTTAAGAGGCTAACATTACCTATAAATTAAAAAACAACAAAACTATAATGGGACAACTGATGAGTACCACGAACCTTGTGTTGCATATAAAATGCATCTCTACCAAAATGTTTTCAACATTTGAGACCTTGAATTTTCACAAAACAGTGCTGAAAAACATACTGTTCTTTCTTTCCCCTGTGTGGCATTGTGTCTATTATTAAAGAATGTTCTCAAAGAGCAATTTGCAATGTATTTTCAACAGAAACAACTTAACTTTAAATAAGAGTTGTATATGTTCAATGTCTGACTCTGAAATAGTTACATTTCTTTTCAATGGAACAGGAAAATTTTAAATAAGGTTTCCCCAACTGCAGTAAAAGAAATCTTTTATATACTTTCAAATACTGTGCCTTTTTATTTAAAACAGTGTAAACATAACAACACCACCAATAATTGGAAAAAGACTGGTTATGTGAACACTAATTTTCTTGAATGCCCCCATCAAAATAAGGGTAAATAAAACAGACAAATCTCCAGGAGGAGTCCCCGCTCACCTCAGCAGTGGTAAAAATATTGCTTTATTCCAAAGGAACATACAATACAATTTACTGTTCTTTTGAGGGCTTCCTGTGAACTGAATACTTGCCTTTGTGATTTCAACAATTTATTCTTTCCATATTAACCACAGAAGCCAATATCTTGGTCCACAAGTTGTAGACTAACTACAAAATAAATACTAATGAGGCTCATGAAAAAGCAAAGGATAACTGTCAATTTGGTCATCGGCTTGTGTGAATAATTTAAGTACGCATGATTCAAAATAAACACACACATTCAACTCTCCTATGATACAGATATCATCAATGAACCTACAGTTGTTCCTCTCAGAAGTATTCACATCAGAAAATGGTCTAGACATTGTCAACAGTTTTATAGGACCCCACCATGCAAGTGACTTTGATGTAAGAACTTACTAACTGAACTTTATACTTAATGGAAAAATTTAAAGTGAACAGATCTAAGAGGGAAATTTTTTTAAATATTAGATTCCCTGATGTTTCAGAACAAATTTTAGCAAGCTTAATACACACACACACATGCACACACATACTCACAATGAACACATGTGCATACAGCATACCAGTGCTCGAGGGAGCAAACACACACACACACACACACACACACTTTCTCTCCTCTCTCTCTCACAAACACACACACACAGGCACACACACACACTGAGAAATGCTCCTTTGGCGTCCTAAACGATCTCAAAGAAAAACATTTCTATCAGCATGACTTTAGTGACATGACACTGATTTTTTTGTCCTTTTTTATATATTGATTTCATATCTTGCTCTGAGATTCTGCACCTTCAAAATTCAGAGGAAGATGGCACAAAAGAGCAGCTGAGTTTGCCCCGATGGCTCCCTCTATCTCTGTCCTCCTTCTCCTTCCCAGGCCTGTGCCATTCTCAAAATGAAATAGAAAACACTACATTGGTTGACATGACATAACCTGTGATGAGGCTGTCGAGTGAAGAGAAATTTGGGGGTTGGGGCTGCCAAGCCAAATGGCAAGGGCTGTCTGCGCACTGGCACATCCGCCCTCGGGTGCAGCTTGTCTCTGAAACCAGGTACCTGCCAGTGCTTTTGGACGAGGACACTGTGCTGTGGGGCTGAGGGTCTGAATCGCCCACATCTACCAAGAGCCAAAGAGGACAATGTTGGGACTAACTGAAATTGTATTCAGATTTCCACCCAAAAGCTTTAGTTGTAAGCTTTATCCCTCCTGAAACGTTACTTTCCCTTTAAAAAAATATTTTGTTAAAAAACACTATGATATGAGGGCGATAGACTATTTGGTTTCTTCTAAGTAGATGCTCTTAAATTAATGCATATAAATAATTTGTATTTAATTTCCTCTCTTTCCTGTTGAGCAAAGCATAGAATGCACAGATTCCTACGTCTCAAGTCACTTGGTCAACGCAGAGTCTCTTTGTATTTCATTTCTTAAGATAAATTGTGCCTCTCGTTCCGATTTGGCCATGGGACTCAGGGGGAGAAAGGCGGTGTTTTCACTCGCACTGTCCTCGGCTTCTACACTGGCTAGTTCGTAGTCTTCTGACCTCCTGGCATCAGTCAGAATTCGGATCTGCTCCTGGACAGTTTCTAGCAGTATTTTCACTTCTTGTTGTTCTGCTAAAAGACAATCGCTGACTGGAATACTCACATTGACAATATCAGCAGAGTAGGAGTTTTTGCACCATTTGATGCTTTTGACGTCAGAAATCCCTGGCATTTGCATGCAGGTTTCCTCTAGCCCCACTGAAGGGATGATGGGCACCGAACTGGCCCTTGGGGATGAATATCCCATCAGGTCCTTTTGATCCAAGCTATTAAAATAAGAGTTTGTCTCTCTCGAAGGCAGTTGCATATGGACTGATGCATCCTGTTGGGTTTTTAAACCGGCGGATGAATACCTGAAAAGAAAGAGAGTGTTAGACAGTCTGCCTTCTGCCGGCGCTTCTTCAGAGCACTCGCCAGCCAGCAAAGCACTTGCCACATGCACCACCTCACTGACTTCTCACAGCAACCCCATCAGACGCAGAATATGTTCCCAGATAAACAGAGAAGGAAACTGAAGCTCAGAGAGGTGCAGTGACTTGCCCAAGGTCACACAGAAAGTAAGTGACAGACTGAGACTCAAACCCAGATCTTCTTACTTTAAGTCCAGGGATCTTTCAACACACCACAGCTGTATAGGCAGGTGGGATATAGTCTTCCTGACCTCTATCCTAGAATACAAAGTAAATGGGGATTGAGCAGGTAAGTGTGGCCTTTCCATAGTGACAAACAGGAAACCCATAACGGCATTACTCCACTCCATCAACTCGACCACCCTCTCAGCCCTGGTTTGGTACTCATGTGGCCAACCTACTTGGAGAAACCGGGAAGCCCCACGTTAAGCATTAAGGTACTAGAGTTCAGAGTCTTTCTGCTTCACAACTCTAGGGGAACGAACGCCATTTCTATCGGCACTCTGCTCTGTAGGCATTGCCTCACTACAAGCTGCTGAGCCTAAAGGGGCATGGGAGACACATGATTCTTCTCTCTGTCCAAAGACAAGCGTGAAGTGAGCTCTGTAAGGCCTCTGCCAATCTAGCAACTTTCCTTACATGGTTTCTGCAGCCAAGTAAGGTAGCTCATTGGTGCATGTTAATGGCTTGTCAAGAATGCCAACATGCTACTCAAGTCATTTGAAGATTCCAGAATCTGACTAGGCCCTTTCTTGCCTGTTCAGAGCTAGTGAATTTCCCAGTGCCTCTGAGCTTCCCAGTGCCACAATGTGGGACAGCTAGTCATAGATTCAAAGAAATGTGGTTTGGGGACTTGAACAGTAGTTTTTACTCTATTTCTGTTATTTGTCCCTAATTTAAACATTAAATTAAACATTAAAATTTAAGTGTAATCTAAACATATCTACCTCCATTTGATACCTAGCATTCCCCTAGTCTTACATTGTAATATAAATAAAAGTCATGTTTATACAAGGAAAGAATAATTGCGATGAAGTGTGTAGCATACTGAATAGAAATCGTTATTTAAGGGCATGATGGGAGTAATTTAGAGGTCTTTCTTTCTATCAGATGGTGAGAAAAGATGGGGAGCAAATTTAGGTGTCTTTATAGTCCTATCCTCTCTTACTGTGCCTAGTACAGAGTGGGTAACCAATAAATCTTGATGGAACAGGCATGTGAGAACATAGCATACCTTAGAGATAAACACTGTATACCCCAATCAGCATCCATTTCAAACATAATAACAAGAGCTAACATTTACATAGTGATTTTATTTTTTAAAGATATTTTTAGTTAATTTCAGAGAGGAAGGGAGAGGGAGGTAAAAATATGAATGATGAGAAAAAATCATTGATCAGCTGCTTCCTGCACACCCCTACTGGGGATGGAGCCCACAACCCAGGCATGTGCCCTGACCAGGAATAGAACCATGACATCCTGGTTCATGGATGACACTCAACCACTGAGCCATGCTGGTCAGGCTGCATAGTGCTTTTAAAAAGTACTTTCACCTTTAATTGCTTCACTATTTTTAAAACTGTGGTTTACTTATTATTATCACCATGTTATTAAAGAAGAAACTGGACTAAGGGGTACTCAAATGACTTGCCACAAGTTACCTTTTGTAAGCAGAAGAGGAAGAAGTTAAACCCAAGTTGTCTTATTTTAATTGTTACTATGAAAGCCAGAAATGAGTGGGCATCCCAGGTGCACTAGGACACTTTTCAAAGGATGCATAATCTCTACCTGTGTAAACTGTATAGCCACCCCGCAAAAGGAAATTTTCCAGGGATTTTGGTCCATTTGCTTTGGTGTTTTGGAACTGAAAATCTAAGCCTAAGGGTTCTAATCAATTTCAACAAGAAGAAATGGAACAAATTAGAGGGTTTTGTGTTTGTCCTGAATATCATCCAGTTAACACCATTAATATCTATGAAGATACAGAATTTCTACTATCAGATTCACTAACCTCACAGAGACAAAAAATGTAATTAGGATAAAATTGTATTTCTCACAAATATCATGAGAGTATATCAGTGGGTAGAATTTAATAGGTTTGAAATGTGATGGTCATAGATGCAAATTCTTATACCAGGATCTAAACATTATTTGCAAAAACCTATATATATATATAAAAGCCTAAGTGACTGGCTAACCGGCCAACCAGCTGGTCTATGATGTGCAATGATCACCGGGAGCAGACGCTCAACACATAGGCATGGGAACATGGAACAGACTGATGAATCTCAGAGGGAAGGGAGGAGGGGGGGGCAGGAGAGAGATTAACCAAAAATCTTATATGCATACTAGAGGCCTGGTGCACGGATTCATGCACTGGTGGGGTCCCTCGGCTTGGCCTGCGGGGATCAGGTCAAAACCAGCTCTCCAACATCCCGTGAGGGGTCACGAATTGTGAGAGGGCACAGGCCAGGCTGAGGGAGCCCACCAGTGCATGAATCTGTGCACTGGGCCTCTAGTATTAGATAAATGTAAAAATGTCTGAGAGGATTTAGACAATCATAGCTTTAATAAGTTAACAATGTGGCCTGATGAAGAAGTGATCAAAGGCAATTCAAGCCAAACTTGAAGCAGTCTTCTAACAAGCCTGACTGCCGAATTAAGGGTGTATATGAGAAAGGAATTTCAGCTGACCTGTAGGTCACCTTGCAAGTCAGTTAACATGGGACACACAGCTGCCAATAACTGCAATCTAAAATATTACCATAACATGAAGATGTGCTTTAAGCAATTAGAACTCTCCCAAATGTGCTTTTGTTTTGAATCAGACATGACTTCAAGCCCCAACACCATTTTTAGATGAATTGCAGCCTCCTTTTAATTTTCTCCTTAATTAAAACAATCAGGTGGTGACACTGCTCTTAGGGATTGCTCTGAGAACTAACTGAAGTAATGCATCTGCACTATTCCCCAGAGGATGCTGGTAACCTTCACTTCCCTCCTAGAGTCTGTGAGTCCAGCACTGGTATTGAGGAGAAACAGATTACTCTTCTCCATGAGTTTAAGGGAGAGCACAACTTCTAGATGTGATCTGGGTTGGAAGACAGGCAGCAGTCTGATCCCTGACAGTCAATCACTCGTTCACAATTTTGATCCATGAGCTTGTCATTCATTGTCTGTAAAATGCCAATTTGGACTGTTGTTCCTCTGATCTCTCAACAAAGATATCACCAGTGCATTTCCTCAGTAACTATGGTGAAAAGGTGAAATATTGCCAGGCCGATGAGGCTCAGTGGTTGAGTGTTGACCCATGAATTGGGAGGTTATGTACGGCAAACAGTCAGTATACTTCGTATCTCTTCTATTTTGAAAGTGGCAGTCTAGCTTTTGTGACTCCATTTCTTTCTGTCTAGCATATGAATATATTAGTTTGGTTTGCCTGACATAACACAGCTCAGAGCTCTGGGACCGTGGCTGTCTCTGACCCCACTAATCATAAAAAGGCTCCTGAATAGTTACCAGTTCATACCTTCCTCTGGCTTCACTGAGATAACTACTGGTTCAAACTGGGCTGAAGCCAGTGCCACGGAGAGAAGTCCCACCACCGGGGCCTACCTAGCAGACAACGCCCACGTGCGTGATAAACAAGCAGCAGATGGCTGATGGCTCTTGCAAATTCAATCACTGCCCCTCCAGGATAGGGCCAGATTTGAAGAGGGCCTTTAACTGTGAAATTCTATTACCGATCCTATTTCCAGTCCAGAGAGATGGAAGGTCCCCCAGGAGTGGAAAATAGCTGTTTTCAAGAACTGAGAATGAGATTGCTCCCTGAGATTCATTGTGCTGAGCACACCGTGACTTATACTTAGAGTCACCATTTATCAACACTGGGTGCATATCACACACAGGAAAATACACGTGGCCAGTCAGCTGGAGAGAATATTCCAACCCCAATGATGATTGAACCAAAACAAAACCACCACCAGGCAGACAGAAAGTGGAAGTCTCCCAGGAGGTAAAAGACAAAGCAGGGCACCTCTGAACATGTGATGGGCACCTCTGAGCCTCCTAAAGTTCATGTATGTGTGGTTGAAGCCTGTGCCCAGAGCAGCTCAGAGCATCCTTACACCTGGACATATGGAACGACAGCCAAAACATGCCTGTCAGAAAGAAACACGGCATGGGCTGGGCCCCCTCTGCAGTCACAAAGTATACTATTCCTAGGCAATGGGCAATATCAGTGATTTAAGAAGGAAAATAATTATGAAATCTAATTAGTTGTCATTGTAGACTAAATACAAGCCCCCCTTCCAAATATAAGGCAAAGAGAAGGCCAGCTACTTCTTGACTTGCATTATATCAGACATTTTGGATAACTTGGCTGTTATGTTGAATTTGCAGATCTGTACCAGCTACATTTTGCACTACATTCGGAATTGCTTCAAAATTACAAAACCCAGCCACAGGCTATTTAATTCTTGTCTCCTGGTCTTCCTAAAGCAATCTGTTGCTGAGCTTTGTCAGATAGAGTAGAAATGCACATATATCTTGTCCAGAAGAAAAGACAAGGGTAAGGCTCTGTGATGGACTTCCTACTTGCTTAGGCCTCCAGCTTGATACAGTGTGGGAACATCACCCAGGGCAAAGCAGCATAGAAACCTGGCCTGGCTCATCCAGAGAGATAAAAGCTAGATGTGATAAGAACCTGGCTTGTGTGAGGGAACAGATTCCTGAAGTTTCTGGAGTAAACCCTGATTGCATTATTCTTGAAATCAGTGATAACTTTATAACAGCTCCTGAGACAATACAAACCAGTACTGCCTCTCTGCTTACCAAGCTCTTTCCACACATAATTAAAAAAAAAATCTATCCAACAACCTTGAGGAAGGCTGTATTATTTATAATCAATTTATACATGAAAAAAACTTAAGCTTAGATGATAAAACTATCTCAAATTCACACAAGATGTTAAGGGCCAAAGATTTGAACTTCAGTCATTTTAAGTAAGAGCTACCGTGTTTGGTTGAACAGTCAATTAGGTGAATGGGACTAAAGTTCATCCTCCGTTCCATCCACCACACCTTGAGCCAAGTAAGCCACTCAGAGGAAGGACACCCTTTGCACTGCAAGGAGGAATAGCAGTTGTTGTGCCCGAAGCCCATATTTCCATCCCTGCACCGTGAATAAACCTAGAGATCTGAGTTCAGCAAATTGTACTTCGAAATCATGCTGTCAGTATTAACTGAGACACATTCAAGAATGCTCGATGGAAGTAGATAACATGATAATATATATATATATATTAGAGGCCCGGTGCATGACATTCATGCATTGGGGGAGTTCCCTCAGCCTGCCCTCCATACTCTCACAGTCCGGAACCCCTTGGGGGATGTCCGCCTGCTGCGGGGAGAGGGCCTAAGCTGGCAGTCAGACATTCCTGAGGGGTCCTTAATGCTGCCGTGGAGGTGGGGGAGGCTCCTGCCACCACCACTGTGCTCGCCAGCCATGAGCCCCGCTTCTGGCTGAGCTGCACTCCCCCTGTGGGCGTGCACTGACCACCAGGAGGCAGCTCCTGCATTGAGCATCTGCCCCTTGGTGGTCAGTGTGCATCATAGAGCCCGGTCTTTCTACTGTTGGGTCAATTTGCATATTAGGGTTTTATTATATAGGATGAGTTTTCCCTTAACAACAACTGGCTAAAATTCTCAGGTTGGAATAACAATGGATTCCTATATGATATATCTCATATATATATGCTATAGGTTCTATAGGTTACTGTTTACAGTATTGTCCACAGTCATACTTATCAGAGAATTAAGTAGTTTTATTCAAACCTAAGGATAAAGAAACACTTTAGTCCTCCTAAGAAATCTCTAGTCTTTAAATCGAAGACAAATTCTAAGCTGTTTTAGTTATTATTTAATAACATAGTGCCTAGATATGTGTACATTTATTTTCTTGCTAATGTTATGTTTATTTTTGATTAAACAGTTTCCTAATATGTATTTCCATTGTACCTAATCTTTTAAGTTAGTTTATCTTTGTAGAACAAAGATGAAAGGAAGTATAAATAGCTAATTGATGATAAAATCAATGAATAAAAAACCCCAATGAACATAGCAACTCAACTTAAAGCTATAGCAATAATGACACCCTCCCTACATTTCATTGTTTTCAGACCTACCCTTGGCAAGGTATTGTATCCTGGTCGGGGATCCTTGATTCCTCAAGTTGCTGATACGCTGGCCCCACAATCCCGCCCAGCCTACTTCGGGGTGAGGGGGGTGTCCTCCTGAAGGCGTTCCGGTGGAGCACACCACTCCTCTGTCCTGGACTGCAGCAGGAGGAGAGACTCCGGCTGCAGGAGAGAAAGCCAGCACATCGGTCATAGTCATAACCTTACAGGTGGCTGCTCAAACCCTTTAAACACTGCACTTGCACCCGAGAGCCTCCAAGTCCCCGTCCAGACTCCAGCCATGACTGGAGTGTATCTGCCAGGAGGGATCAGAAGTTGCCAAATCCATTTACCCTTGTGAAGACTGAGACCAAGAGAAGTTCTTGTGTTTCTGGTTTTCTAATGTGGAGCACAATGGGCTAAAATTGCTGCTTTCCAGCCAAATTAAGAGGTGGGTTTAAGGAATTCTGAAGCTCCTGATTCCCACCCACCCTCAGTATTCAAGCTACAGTGGCTGTCTCTCTAATACAGTAAACATGGCTTTCTTATTAGACACTGACAAGAACCAAACACAGTTAGCCCTGAAGGGATCTATGGGGAAAATTTCACTTGTGCTAGCGGTAGAATAAACAAACTTTATTATGATCGGCATTCTCTCCTTAACATATGTGCTAAATTCGCAGTTCATTATCTCAAAATTCCATCAGTCTTAAGAAACTAAATCATTTTCCTTTTTTAGTTTGCCTTTACTAAACATCTCATTCTGACTCATATATCCAAATGCCAAAATAACTGTGTTTTTAGGTGCCCCTAAAGGGCATCAGGTATAAATGAAATGTACTTTCGGTGAGGTCCCTATACAGATCATGTTAAACAAAAGAATAAGATTCTTTCTAAAAATCAGTTGCTAATTTGACACACTACCTGTTGCATATCCATCCGCATCTCTACCCCACTGAACTTCACATACTCCATGGGGAGCAGTGCAGAGAACTGACTCCTGTGTACACATTCCTAAGATGACAGTTTATGTGATTAAATCACATAAAACTATGCAGAAAAAATTAAACACATTTTCAAAATTTCAATAAACCTATCAGGTTTTAAACAGACCAGTCCCCCAAAGGAGTTTACCCATATCACTTTATTATTTGAAGTTCTGTATGTTTTCCTTCATGAATATTGCTGTTATTTCTACTGAACAAAACAACTTCTCAAATATTATTTAAGGCCAGAGTTTCAGAACCAAGATGACAGATCAAACTTCACATTCTCAACCCAACATGGACTTCCTGAGTTAGTACAAACACCAGGTTATGCCTGGCAACATTATTACGACTTAATTCTTTCTCATAATATTTCCTGTATGTCAAGTCCCAAAATGCCTAATATCAAGGAGCCTCACTAAGTCAACAAGTCTATGAAGCTCTGTATCAGCTCATGCCTTTCCCTCCCTCCAGCTTCTATCTGCACCATCCAGCAGCAGTTATGGAGTCTGAAGGGTGCTCAGGCTTGCGTGCTAGGGTTAGCTGGGTCTGGGTGTGCATCTCCGGTCTGTACATTAGCAGCATGGCACTGGGGGAAGTACTGGTGCCAGTGTTAGCTGGGTCTGGGTGTGCATCTCCGGTCTGTACATCATTAGCAGCATGGCACTGGGGGAACTACTGGTGCCAGTTAGAGCAGTGATGGCAAACCTATGACACACGTGTCAGAGGTGACACGTGAACTCATTTTTTTGGTTGATTTTTCTTTGTTAAATGGCATTTAAATATATAAAATAAATATCAAAAATATAAATCTTTGTTTTACTATGGTTGCAAATATCAAAAAATTTCTATATGTGACACGGCATCAGAGTTAAGTTAGGGTTTTTCAAAATGCTGACATGCCGAGCTCAAAAGGTTCGCCATCACTGAGTTAGAGTCTTGGAGGAAAATAGATGGCACTCTAAACTGGGTCATTTGGGGGAAAGTTTGCCATTTACAAAGGTGTGTCCAGAATTTGAGCAAAAAAGGACAACAGAGGATACTGCTGTATGTCAAGGCTAGTGACAACAGGAAGCTGTTACTATCCCTATGACCTAAGGGACAAGGAGAGGGAGCTGTTAGCAGAATGGAGAGACAAGGCCACTTGGCAGGCACTTTGGCCCCAGGAAAAGGGACATAGCTGAGGCAGCCAAGCAGGGAGGGAGGGATGGAAGTACTGGAACCTCTCTCTCTCCCTGGCTCTCCCATCACATGCAGGTGCCGCCCATTGAGCCGACAGAAGCTAGAGGACAAGGGAGCCTGCTGCCCTTCTAGTGCACAGAACAATGCTGGCAGAGAGAGGTGAAGACTAAACAGGTGTGGAGAAAGGCACTGGCATCATGCTTAAATCTTTCCATGAGATTGCTATGGGGGTTAAAAGCAACAAAGTACGTGAAGTGTTTGGCACGTAACAGTTGCTCAGCACAATGAGCTCCCCTGGCTCCTCTCACACAAATCATTGAAAACTCAGACTTCTTTCACTCTTTAAAAATACTTAGATGTGTGCTATCTATAAGTGACTTACATTGCCAAGTACAATGCAATAAGTAAGACATGACATACTAGGATTCTTTTTTTTAAAAGAAATACTTTTGACTAAAAAGAAATAATGCTTGGAATTAATAGCTTTGTTTCATAAATGAGCTATCCAAATATGTCATATTTGCAGTGCAAGGCAATAAATTAATTATTCATAGCTAGCCAAACTGCTTGGCAGCAAAGTCTACCGTATAAACTAGTGGTCCATCTTAAAAAGCAGTTCCATGACTACTGATCAGCCAGCTAGTCTAGCCTGCTAACACAGTAGCATTCGGGCAGTCATGGAGCAGTTGGCAGGCTACATAAATCAGTGATCAGGCTGCCAGTCATGAAAACATTTAAGTCTCCTGCATATTTTACAAAACAAAGCTCTGAGATATTAAACTGTAACTTCAAAGTTTTAGAGGCACTTTATGGATCAGTCCTTGCCTACCTACCATGACACAATGCATGCCAACAACACTGCAATGTCACTGAACCAAACAGAAAGGAAGGTCTCCGACAGGCACCCTTAGTTCCTAGAAACCACAGCGGGAGCCACATTTAGGAGGGAGGATGTCAACAGAGAAGAGGGAGAGTAGGGTATTTGCAGCGCAAATACAATAGAAGCTGTAATTTTTTTTTATCTCAACTTTAAAACATCAATGGCATAACGTAGTGCTGGAATAATATTATACTTAATTAGTTTACTTAACTGGGTGCAATGCCACTTTAACATGTATTATAATCAGCAGGGGAAAATGCTGTTTTGGAGAAAATATTCATCTTCTAAGAGGCTGGTAATTTTGGACTTATTTCCCTAATTAAAGAACTTCTATTAGCTCCAGGGAACTGAAATGTGTTTTTTTTTAGAGGGAAATATCTACAAATTCCTTAATTGATATAAATCAAAATATGTAGTTAATAACTAAAGCAATTATCCAATAGCTAAACATATTTAAATCCTGAACTAAAAATATTTAAATCACCTTTTGAAAAACAGCAAACCTTTAGTATCTCAGTCTCTAATCGTACAGAGAGACAGAAAACCTCATAGCAACGTGTCAGCATCAATGAAATCCTTTTTGGACCCATTGAGAAGCAAGGAAGAAGACCGTTTCCTTGTACAATGTGTGCTTCTGTCCGGGTGGTTTGCAAAGCACTGACTGGATGTGTAAAAACCAATATTTACATTTCATTGATGGGGACAACTGTGGTTTTTCATATTTTCTTTTTACAAATTTTTATCTCTTCATAATGTTTTTTTTAAAATTTTAAATACTATACTTCTTACTAAGAAAAGAAAGCTCAAATCTTGGGACAACTTCTACAAGGATCGAGGATATGCATTTAAATGACATAAACATAATGTCTGCTTCAGCACTAGTCCCAAACTTTGGCTCTTGTTTGAGAGCAAAAATTTTCAGTTTTTAGAGTTCCAGATTCCTCATGTATAAAACACAGTATGTGACTAGAAGATGACTAAGAAGTTTTCAGCCTCAGAATTCCATAAAATTTGTAAGATAACGTTATTTTTGGCTTTCTCCCCCAAAGAGCCAATTGCTACGGTCAGCTTGTAAAGGAAGGCCACCCCATTGATCATAGATCTTACAGATCCAAGCAGATTTGCCAGGATTCTCCCCCCATGAGAGTTTCTTTGTTTGAGAGTCATGGTGAAAGACCAGGAGCATGTCACTTCAGTTTCCCAGAGAAGAATTAGTCATTAAATCTGCAGAGAGTGATAAGGCAGGCTAAACAAAATCATGTTTTTCATAGTTATTTTCAGAATGCAATTATTTCATTCACTGGTCTGTATCTGTAGCTTTGATGGGCGTTGTTAACAGCTCCTTTCGGCTTTGTAGAGGGGCACTGCAGCCTGCTGGTGTCTTTGGTTTACCTGCTGTGAGCTGCTTAAGCATCCACTCCATGGAGAACCACATGAGAAGCAAGAACAATCATCTCTCCTAAACAGTGTTGCCATTTCTGGGCATGTGTTGTCCAGAGTCACACATGGTGTGAATGTGCCCATTCCACCATGATCAACTACCTGTACCTGTGGTGTTTGACAGATTGGCTTCCTCTGTCAGAAGGGACCTCTGGAAATGACTGAGGGCCAGCAAAGCTTGACTCCATCATTTTCTCCAGTGCCGTCACAGGACGCCTCTCCGCCTTTGAGTACTGTGGGGAATCACAGGCACAAGGTTGAGCAGGAGGATGAGCGGAGGTCCTGCAACACTACAGATAGCTATTGACAAGGTATGGAACTTCCAGTAACATCCCTCTGGCCACCCGGTCAGGAGCATGGTAGAGGCATCATTTGCAGCCCGTGTCTCCCATACGGAGTATGCTCTCCCACCCCTGCCCCACACTCTCTGTGACTAGGTGAGGTCCATTCAAAAGGGTTCTTCATTTGAGAATCCTGAGTACTGTCTTTTCATTTAAATCCACATCCATGGCACAGCCAAAATAAACACAAGCATGTTTTATTGAATGCAAATTTTATTAAAATATTAATTAGTAGCTGACTACTAATATTAGGATTCAATAAATGCTGATTGAATGAAACTCAGAACACTCTCAAAATTATGGAGGACATTGATTCAGTGTCTCTGTCCACCACTCCACACTGTTTTCCTCTTTTAGTTTGTTACCAGATAGTATTTACTGTGTCTAAAAAGAGAAATTTGTGAGCATTTCACTCTTTATAGTTATTAACTCTTGGTTTTACCTTTGACTATGATACCGCATAAGCACAAGAGTCTAAAGAAAACCTACAGAGATGATATATTGAGAACAATTTTGCCTCAAGGTAAGTATCACATGGCATCTCACCCAGGCAGGTGCCCAGTCATCTTTCTCTGGATCTTGGCCCTTGAACAGGCAGTAGGGATGGCAGGTTTCTCTTCTAGAAACTTCAGATAAAAACTCTCCTGAGAAATGATATTTGTAGAATGCTAACCAAACTACAGAGATTTTGGAATTTAGATATTCATGTACAATGTATGAAGAAGAATTTCACAGAAAAATATGGGTATATAACATGCAAATGAGAAGGTATACAACTATACACATTGTGAATAAATGAAAATCAGAATAAAGAAAAATAAATTTTAAGAATATATACTAAAGACAAAGATTTGAGAAAAGTAGAGATGGTGCTAATCTGTTGAGATAAATATTGACAATACTAGAGGCCTGATGCACAGAAATTGTGCAAGAGTAGGCCTTCCTTCCCCCGGCTGCCGGCACCAGCTTTCCTCCAACACCCGGGACTGGGCTTTGTTTTGGCTGCCAGCAGGCACCCGGGACCCGGGCTTCCCTCTGGCCCACGCTTGGTCTGGAAGGACATCTGGTCTAATTAGCATATTACCCTTTTATTATTATAGATGTTTCAAAATGTTACATATACATACTCTTTGATCAAGAATATTATTTCTAGGAATTGCCATCATAAATATAATTATAAACATTTAATATGATATAATCACAGAGTATGTCAGCAACACAATTTTAAATTAAAAAAAAAACAGAAAACAAACACACAAGAAACAACTGGAAACAATAAAAATATCCACAAACAAATACTATGTTGCCATTCAAAAGAATAACATCAAGGTACAAAAAATATGCCTATATGAAATATTTGGTTATATAAGGAAAATGCAGGAAAAAAAATATATATATATATAAATTTAGCTTTGTGTGTACATGTATATATAGAATATATATGTACATATACATATATTTTGTGTCTGTTTCCTCTGCAATTACGCAGAATGCAGATTTTTAAAAAGTAAAATAAACTATTAAATATACTATTAACTAGTTGTTATCCTTGAGGAAACGTGTATCAGTGGGTATGGGTTAGGAAGAGTAGGGAAAAACGTTTTCTTTTAAAGTACTTCCGAGAGTGGCAGTAATGACCATGGCTTTCATCCGAATCTGCATCCTACAAAATGGGTTTACAGAAGCCGGTCAGACTTCTCCAAAAATGGAATAAATTAACAGGGAACAAAAAGAAGATACGGAGATAATTAGGAAGAGGCGATGGTCTCCAACAATCCAAAAGTACAAGCATCCAAAAACCAATGGGAATACCTGTATGTGTGCTTCCAATTGAAATTTTTTATTGCAAACCATCCATGGAGAAAGTGAACTGAATGGACATGTTACTGAAATGTAACTGACACCCTGAATTCCCATCTGATGTCCAGGTTCTATAGAAGACCTACTAGGTTTTTGTTTTCGTTCTTGTTTTCTTTCACATCTAACAACTAGATTTAGAAGACAAACTAGGGTGCCTGGCAGGGAGGAGGCGAGCCCCTGCTCTGCTCCTACAGAGGGCGCTCAAGAGCAACATCAGCCAAGTGTTTCTGGAGCATCCAGGTTTTCTAGAGGAAATCACCGAATCGTTAATGTCAGCAGCCCATTTATTTTTTAAAAAGAATAATATAACAAAATGCCTAATTTAGCTTTTGGCCCATTAGTTCAGATCTTCTGTCTGAATGAGACTATTGATCCTGAGAGCTTGAGGGCCTTTTACAAAATCCTGGATAAATGTTTTGAATAGAATCAACCTATTACTCATTCTGATTATTCATAGGGTTTACACTAGATATTCTGTTCCAAATATTTCTTTCAAAAGCTGAGATTGTTGTTATATTATACAGTTGCTTTCAATTGGACTCTTTTGATCCATTAATACAAATTTGTTTTCATAATTTGTTATTTTGAATCTTCTTCCTTTTTCTCACAGCCTTTACAAGAATCATTTACATTTTAGTGGCTGCATTTAACCTGAGATTCCTTAATTGCTTGTCTTCTTATCCAGAGTTAGCTGAAATGTGGGAACACTAAAAAGAACCCTCGTGATTTGGCAAACCTTCAAACTGATATTCCATACATGTGGGTTCAAATGAATTTAAAGGTAGCTTCCAGTTTTCAGTTCTGACAAACAAAGAGCTTGGAAATGGTCATTCCTGTCTTTACAATAAAAAAAGGCTGAACAAATAGAAAATCAATGACTATTCTTATATCCATCAGATAGTTCAGGTTGCAGGGAAAACCGCCACTCTAAAATCTGGACAGGTGAGTGCATACAGAGGGTAATAGTCAAGATCAGCTCACCTGTAGCAGGATCTGCCAGAGACATAAATTGGCTGGAATACACAAATGGTCATTTTAATAAGCTGTTGGAATCTGTGAGCAGGCTCGAGTGAAAGTAAAAATCGCCTGAAGGCTGCAATCTGAGGTAAGGTTCCAATACAGACCCACAACAGATTCCCACACAAAGAACAATTTTTAGAAAGTCATCTCATGTCTCTGACAAGGGAAGGGGGAAAATAACCACCTGGAAATGCATGCAGAATGTTCCCCATTACCACTGCCTACTTTTCATTGAAAAATGACTTTACTGGAGTCTTATCTCACCTGAGAGAAGAGCGTTTCCCTGACTCCACTCCCTGTAGCCTTCCTATCTCACATAAGGGGTAAAAAGTGAAGAAAATCTTATGAAGGTCTTAGCCCAGGAATATACTGACTAAAAGAGTGAAATATAATCATAAAGTCAGAGATGATCTCCTTCCACCACTCCTTAGCACCACATAAACAGGGCTCCACTGTAACAACAGGGGCTGACAGCTGGGAAGTTGTAAGAAGGAATTCTTAGGGAAATCTAAAGCCACACAAATATATAGAAGGAAAACACTATAAGGTGTTAAAGCCCTTGGCATCTGCAGTGACAGCAAACATTAAACAAAACCCAACCACAAGCCAGATTAACATAGAACCATACACTAAAGGTCTATTTGCCTCACTGTCTATTGCCTATCATGTCTACCTTTTAACTAAACTTTTATAAGGTATGCCAAAAGACAAGAAAAATGAAGTCCGAAGAGACAAAATAATCACGAGAACCTGACACAGATAGCACAGATATGTTGGAGTGATCAGGTAGTTAATTTAAAAGGAGCATGGTAAATACTTTCAGGGTTCTAAAGGGAAAAGTAAACAGCATGCAAGAAAAGATGGGTATTTTAAGTATAGAGAAAAATCACTGAGAAAGATGTAAAAGTAAATATTAGAAATAAAAAACACTGTAACAAAATGATGAATTCCCCTGATAGACTCATCCCTAGAGTGGACACAGTCAAAAAAAGAAGCAGTGATCTTGTGTTTAAGTCAATAGAACCTTCCTGAAATGAAACACAAAGCAAAAACTAAATGCATAAATACAAGAAAAAAAAAAGGAGAACAGCAGAAGATAATATTCAAGAACTGTGGACAATTTCAAAAGGTATAACGTATACACAATTGGAATACCTGAAGGAGAAGTAAAAGCAAATGGATCATGAAAAATGTTTGAATAACGACCTATACCTTTCCAAAATTATTAACAGATACCAAATCACAGATATAGAAAGCTCACAAAACACCATGAAAGACAAACATAAAAATATTTATACCACAAAATATCATATTAAATTTGTATTTAATTAAATAAATAATAGATGGATGATAGATAGATAAATTAATTAAATAAATAAAATGCTGGGGGGGGTAAGCCATAAAAGAAAAAGATTAAAAAATACAGTGGACTTCTAATAAATCATACAAACAAGAAGAGAAAAAGAGTGAAATAAAGTGTTAAAAGAACAAAAGATACCAACATAAAAACATCTCTAGTGAAACTATTCTTTAAAAGTAAAGCAGAAATAAAGACTTTATAAAAGAAAAACTGAAGAAATTCATCACCAGCAGACCTGTCCTACAAAAAATTTTAAGAGAAGTTCCTTGGGAGGAAACAAAATTGTGTATAGGTCAGAAGCTCAGTTCTTTATAAAGAAAGAAAATGTTAGAGAAGCAATAAATAAAGGTAAATTAAAATATTTTTCTTATAGTAATAGATCAAATAAAAATATTCATTCAAATTAATAGTACATACACAAATTAAATAATTGACAGCAATGTTATAAAGAACGGGAAAGTGGAATTAGGAAACTCTGTTATAAAATGCCTATACTATTAATGAAATGGTAAAGTGTTACTAAAAGTGGACTTAGATTAGTTATAAATGTATATTGCAAACTCTTGGGCAAATACTAAAAAAATTCTAAAAAGAAGTATTATTGATATGCTAAAAGAGGAGAGAAAATGGAATAAATCAAATAATTAAAACC